GCCCTATCCAACCACAGAATTTCCTTTGCCTGCCTGCCCCCATTCGTGTGACCTAGCAGGAGGCAGCACTAGACTAGGAACCAGGAGACACAAATTCTAGGAGAGGCAGGGCTTCACAATGGTTAGCGCGCAGCTCTAGGGTCTGACTGCCTGGGTTTGAATCTTGACTCAGACAAGTGCTTAGCTAGAACGACTAACTTCTATGTGCTTCAGTTTTCTTACCTGTAAAGTCAGAATGATAATGGTACCTACCTCCTCGAGTGGTTGTGAGGATAAAATATGTTGATTTTACAGTGCCTAGCACACAGCAAGTGCTCAAGAATGTTGTCAGTTTCCAGTTCTGGCTGTGGGACCCTGAATGAGTCCATGCTCTGTTGGTCAGTTCACAGGACCAGAGTACACAAGCAGTTTCCAGCCCAGGAAGCCAAGACCTCTAGGGACTCTAGGGACTTCACTCATACCCCAAAGAGCTGTAGTGAGCATCTTTGGTTTATAATGTGGAGAACTATCAGCGTCTTAACGCAGGCAGGTTTGGTAGGTGGTACCTTAGAGGGAAGCTGAGCTGTCACACAAGCCATTGGTGGGGAAAAGGGTTGAGAGCCATCCTGTGGGGAGTGACTGATTGTGTTTAGCTGTTGGGTTGGGTAGATCTGGGATAGCAGGAGTTGAAGACCCCATGTGAGGATTACAGACTCTTTCGCCCTCTGGTGGGAGAAGGTAGAACTTCAGGGTGTGTGTGTGTGTGTGTGCGTGCGCGCGTGTGCACGTGTGTGCATGTGTGTGCGTGTGTGTGTGTGTGTGTGTGTGTGTGTGTGTGTGTGAGAGAGAGAGAGAAAGAGAGAGAGATTGAGAGAGAGACCAAGACTGAGACCATCAGAGAAACGAGCTGGAGAAATCAGAGACACTGTGTGTGTGTGTGTGTGTGTGTGTGTGTGTGTGTGTGTGAGAGAGAGAGAAAGAGAGAGAGATTGAGAGAGAGACCAAGACTGAGACCATCAGAGAAACGAGCTGGAGAAATCAGAGACACTGGAATGGGAAGCAGTGGAGAGAGAGAGGGAGGCAACTGTGATGGGGGCCATGCCCCACCCCCACCCCTGGAGTCAGGGTCCCTCCTCACCAGGGACACATTGCACCAGTCCACACGGAAATGGGGTGCAAAGGTGTCATAGCAGGACAGAAGTGGAGGCTGGCCCTGGGCACAGCGGGCTTGGCTGTCGGGGGATGCCACCATCTTCAGGCAGGAAGAGAAGGGTGAGGCAGAGCCCACCTTGATGTACACCCTGGGTGGGCCCAGATAGAAGCCACAGTCAGCAGAGTGGGGGCACCTGGCACCACCCAGCTGGATGGTGTCAAAGCCGTCCTGATTGTAGGCTATGGCCTAGAGATGGGATGGGGGAAGAGGGCTAGGAGGTGGGGTTAGGGGACAGATGTGGGGCAGCTGGAGCCCGGCAGGAGAGGTCACAGCCCCCCTCTCCCCGCTGAGATCAGGAGTTGTGGTAAGAGTACACAGAGCACCCCACTCTTCTGGGAGAATAACTCCCCCAGAAATGTCCTTTTATATATGGATCTTGTACAACTTCATGGGGTAACAGGAAGTACAGAGTTCAGACTATCTAAAGTTTAGCCCAGGAAGGATAAGAAGGAGATAAGGGGGTGGCCAGAGGACAGTGGACAGTGCTGTGAAGATGGGCACGGTAAAACCTCACCTGGAAATTATGGAGACCCTTATTCTATGCCTACCACACAAACAAAAGGCAAGCTGCCTCCCCTTTCGGGAAGCCTTCCTGGGTTGCATGCCTACCCTTCCTTGCGGCCCTCGATGGGAAGGGGTACACGGCCCCCACGGTCCAAGGCAGAAGTGATGTTGAGCAGCTGGAGCTCCCCTGGCTCCCAGAGCCCCCCCACGGCCGTGAGGAAGCGGCTGGCAGGCGTGGAGGGCAGCACCTCCTCCACGTCATGACTGCGCACCAGGAACTCAGCTTGGTATGGCAGCAAGGGCCCTAGGAAGACCAGGTGGGCACCTCAAGCTGCAACGAGCCCCCAGCTCTGCCCCCCAGATCCTTCCCAAGCCTCCCCCAAGCTCTTCCCCACATTCCATCATGCCCCTCCCCAACACCCACAGCCTCAGTGACTTGCCCACGGCCCCACAGTCAGTCCACAGAGCCCCAACAACACAACTCCAGAACCTGGAATCCCAGTCCAGCTCTCACTCCCAAAACATAAATGTTGTGTCCTCCTCGGACCCCCTACTTTCCAGGGTGCCCTGCTACCCTCTACTCTCCAGGAAACCCCCTCCCTTTCCATGGGAGGTGCCCCAACATCCCCCTCGCATTGTTGGGGAAGGGGTGGGGTGGGGCTGGAGGTACCTTCTGGGTCCCCAATTGACAGCACCAGCCTCTGCCCAGTGGTGTCAAAGCTGTCCCGATTGTAGGCTGTGACCTGGGGGGGATAGAGAAGAGAGCCTGCGGCCTGGCAGGACAGGACTGATATACGATTAGAGGTATATAAATTATGTGTAAATGAGCATGAAAGAACACCCAATCCTGAATGGCAGGGCTGCTCCTAAGAGGCAATGCTGACCCACCCCTGGGATTTTCTGGGAGTCCCTACTGGCACCTCAATGACCTGGCGCCCTCGATCTTCTGGGGTGGCCGTGCCATAGAGGAAGCCAGGGTGGTGGGGGCTGCGCTGCGTGTAGCGGAGCCACCGGGGCAGGTCTGGGTGTCCCTGGAGGTGGGCATGGTAGGTGATGGGAACGGTGGGTGGGACAGCTGGTGGAAGAGAGGATAGGGGGTTAGAGTCACAATGGGAGCCAGGGTGAGACACACCCAGCCCACCTGGGTGCCCCTCTCACCGACATGCTCAGGAAGGCGCAGAAAGTTTGCGTGGTCCAAGGTGTGCACAAAGACACGGCCCACGAGCGGGTGTAGGGTGGTCTGCTGGGCCCCGATGCCCCCCAGCCCTGCCAGGAGACCTGTGGAGACCCCACAGACCCAAATACAACCAGACTCAGTCCTGAGCAGGGAATAAGCTGCCTTCCCCACCAAGTCCTCAGTGCCCCTAAGGGACTAAGAGAAGGGGGCTCCTTTGCTGGCTCCCAGGAAAGAATGGGGTGGGAGGTGGGGGGACAGGCCCTGTCTGTGCTACATATGTTAGTTGGTGACAAGACTCAGACTTCTGTTTGGTTTCGATCCATGGGAGGACCTCCCCCACGTCAACCTTCCCACTCCTCATTTTAGGCCCTCGTTGGGGGTCACAGTGGACAGGAACTGATGTTTGGCTGGGAGGGATTGTGCGGTGTGTGGTGTGCGTGTGCGTGTGTGTGTGTCTTAAGGGCACTTGGAAAAGGTCCCATGCTAAGCGTCTAAGAGGCTGGAGGGGAAGAGAAGGGGGAAGGAGGCTTCAGAGGAGGAGGGGTAGCCATTCTGAGACCCAAAACCCGCACCTGCCTCCCCTAATATATGGGGAGGGACAGGGCCTGCACTAAAGGCCAAGAGGAGCTGAGCAAAGAGGATTCTAAGCCCCAGAGAAGATCATAGGACCTGCCCCAGCCAGCCCCTCCCTCCCTCTCAGGGCCAAATTTAGCCTGGGCCTAGACAAAAGCAGTGACCCAGCCAGCCCATTAAAGGGCCCACAACCCTCTGGGCCTGTGCTGTCAGGCCTACCCCACCCTAGGACACCTCCAGCCCTCTGAGCTCCAGGCCCTATGTCCCAGAGCCCAGCTCCCAGCACATTCCTGGGACCCCCCAGCTGTGTCATTAACAGCCCAAAGCCCTTCTGGCCCCTGCCTCACCCTCCCCAGGCCCCTCCCCTGAGGACCCTTCATACTTCCACCTCATTACCCCAAAATCCCACCCCTCATCCTGGTCGTCCCCACTGAAGAAGGCCCCAACTTGCCCACAAGAAGAGAAATCCAGACTAGTGCCGCTGCCATGGCTGCCCCAGCCTGGCCTGGCCCCTGTGAGTGACAGAGACAGGGGCAGGGAGGAGAGTGGGGAGGGAGGGAGGTGGGAGGGACTGGGAATTCTCCCAGGGCAGCTGGGTCCCAGCTGCAGCCCGTGAGGCCCTCCCCATCCCCACCCAGAGCAGGCACTGAATCTGGGGTCGACACCCTCCTCACACATAATGTCCCTCCAATCGTCCCCTCCCGGTGGCACAGGGTGTTTTCGAAACCACCAACCTGACTACCTCGGTCCTCCCTTAAAACCCTAATAGCTCGCATTGCCCTTGAGTTCCCCAGCTCAACCCCAGTTGATGGCTTTCAGGCCCTTCCTGTACCTGGCCATCCTGTCTAGAATCCCCTCCTCTACCCACCCCCAACACACACCAGTCTCTTGCCCAGCTGCCTTCTGCCTCTCCCCAGCTTGCTATGCTCTCTTAAGTCTCTGCAGCAAAATTCCAGTCACCTTTCAAGAATCAGCACAGTTATCTCCTCTTCTCTGAAGACTTTCTGGCCTCCCTCCTTCTCCTGGCTAAGCTGGGTGCCCCCTTAGCCCCTGCGCGAAACCCTGTGCACACCCAGTCACACGGCCCTGCAGGGTATATAGGTGCTCTGAGCTCCCCAGAGACTAGGGTCTTCTTATCTTCCTATCCCTGGACCTGGCACAGGGCTCGGTAACTAGTAAGTATAGGTGGGCTGGGTGACAGCTTCCTTAACAGTGAACAAGCGTGCCCATTCACCCAGCTCTAATCCCTAGACCAAGGACCCCCAGCAGGTAGGTGTGGGAAGAGAGAGAACCCTGGACAGAGGCAGCCAGATGCAGATGGGTGAGCAGAGGAGGTGCCCTCTCTGGTTTATCATTCAGGGCTAATCGTACAGACTTGGAGCCTTGCAGGCCTGGGCACGAGTCCCACCGCAGCCCCTTACTGGAGATGTGAGTCATTTGCCCTGCCTAGGCCTCAGTTTCCACAACTACAAGCTGATGTGAATAGTGCTTGCCACTTGGCGTCATTGTGAGGAATCAACAAAATACATATTTACAGAACACCTAAGTCCCTGGCTGTGATCATGCAGGGCTGAGCAGAGCCCTGCCCACGTGGAGCTTGCCTGGTAGTGAGTAATGACAGCTGGCCCTGCCTGCTGCCACGCTGAAGGTCTCGCATTTATTTAGGTATATTAACTCATTCCATCGCCCCAGTACTTCTATGAGGTGGGAATTATTATTGCCCCCATTTTACAGATGCTAAAACTGAGGCACAGGGGTGTATAACTTCCCCAAGGTCATGCTGCTAATGAGTTGAATGCATGTAAAGAGCTTAGCCCAGTGCCAGACTCAGCCCCTGACAGCCATCCATGTACTTGCTTATGGGGCACTGCTTCCCCTTCCTTCCTGCATTTGCTAAAGGATCTTGATCCAGGCGTGAAAGGGGTGAGATGCCCTTCTGTCCCAGGGCCTCCCATTCAGAGCAGGCAGAGACGGACCCTGAGAAGGACACAGGGATCCAAGGCTGCCAGGGTTCCAAAATCCTTGGTACCTGTGTGTACGTCCCTACTGGGCCTCAAGACAAAGGGTGTTGCTCGCCTCACCCCCACAGCCCAACTTCCCAGGCAAGGACATCCAGGACCTGCCTAGGTTGAGCCTAAGGGGGAGGGTGTTGGTCTGCAGATTGGGGCGACTGGTAGGCAGGTTACTTAGTCCTTGTCTCTTCCTCTCTCTCTCTTCACCTGACCAACCACCTGTCCCTGGAGACCCACCAAATTCTAGAGTCAGCATCCACTTGTGCTCTCAGGCAGGGCAGTGTTCGTCCCAGAGTCACCTTGGCATCTCTCTGCCTTCTCTGAGATGGACAGAGAGAGGAAGAAATGTTCTGGAGGCAGAGGGAGAGTCAGAGGGCTCTGGGGGAGCAGACAGAGTTGAGGAGCCTGGAGCCTGGGCAGCTGCCCAGGCCTCAGCCCCTGAGCTTCTCCTTGTGACTCCTGTCCCTCCCCCTGCTATTTTTGGAGCCACCCACTCATGACCTCAGCTGTCTTAAGGTAGCAGTGCTTGCACCCAGTGTCACCAGGCCCACGGAGGCCAGCCTTCTTTAATGGAAAAGCTGAAGCCATTTCCCCCTCAGATCCCCCCCTCGCTCCCCCACCCCCAATTCAGGGGAGCCAGGGACTGTCCCAGGAGCCAGCTGCAAGTCCCCAGAAAACCTCCCCCAACCCCTAGGCCACCAGAGGACCTCCCCACCTCAGAGCTGTCTGGATTGCAACTTGTTGCTGCAAAATGCAGCACCTTCTGTCTTCTGGGGCTTGTGGGTGGGATGGGGGGGTCACAGGGTCTTTAAACTTCTTATTTTGGACATTTTTTAAAAAGCAGACAGAATAATGTAATGAGCTCCTATGTATCCATCACCCAGCTTTAACAATTATGGCCAATCTAGTTTCATTTACACATTTCCTAATTTTCCTCTCCCATTTAACTTCACCTGTTATAACACCAAGGTCAAGGGTTCAGTTCCCTGTACTGGCCAGCTGCCAACAAATAATAATAATAATAATAATAATAATAATAATAATAATAATAATAATAATAATAATTTCATCTGTCAATATTTTGGTGTGTATCTTTTAAAGATAATCACATCACATAATCAATTATTAACATAATCAATAACTCCTTAATATCAAACTTCCAGGTTTAAAATTTCTAATTTCTCACAAATGTCATTTTTTTTTTAATGTATTTGTTTGAATCAGGATCCAAATAAGGTGCACACATTGCACCTGGTCTATTGGTCTCTTAAATCTTTTCAAATCTATAGGTTCCCCATCCATCTCTTTCTTTCTTTCTCTCTCTTCCCCTTCCTTCCTTCCCTCCCTCCCTCCCTCCTTCTCGCTCTCTCTCTGTTTTTCCTTCCTTGAAGGAAAAAGGTTGTTTCTTCTGTAGTTTTCCACAGTCTGAATTTTGCTAATTGCATCTCTATGGTGTTCTGCAACACAGTCCTCTGACCTCTGTACTTCCCATAAATTGTATTTTCTGTATATCATTATCTCCTGCAAGTTGTAGTCGGATCTAGAAGACTGATCAGCTTTAGGTTCAATTTCCTTCGGCAAGATCCCTTCAGAAGTGGTGGTGGTGTTCTTCCATCTGGAGGCACATTATGTGTTCTGTAGTCTTAGCAGTGCCAGTGCCTCAGCCATCAGCAATTTTTTTGCAAGATGGTGACATTCACATTCAATCCTTTATTAGCTGGAATAACTCTAAACAGAGACACTGCCCCTCACGATTTGGTTACTGAGCATTATCGCTCATATAGGAAAGACAGGTTAAATGCTGGATTCTTTTTCTGTATTTACCAGTTTCAAAATAATGAGTTGATTCCCTAGCATCCACCAAACCATGACCAATTAGCTTTTTATTCTTTTTCTAGTAGTATAATTATGAATTTATGGTTTAAACTTATTTGATTGCTTCAATCCATTGTAACCAGTGATCTTCCTGGTGCTCAAGTTGTCCTATCTTTAGCTGTCGAGTTAGTCTTCAGTAGTTGGAGCATCCATCTGGGGGAACTAGAGGGGTCAGATCTTTGCATCTGTCTTGCAAGCCCAGCCAGATTTCCCTCGCTTCTGCTTTATTCCTGTACCCCAGCCCTGCCCTTACCTAGCTGGTTCTCTGTCCTCGCTTCTTTGCCATCCGCATCTGCTTCTCTAGCTTTCCACCCTGTCCCCGCCCATCAGTGCCTAAAGTTAATCCCTCTTGTCCTTTGTCCCTGTCTCTCCCCATCCCACCGAATGCTCGCTGAATGAATGAATGAACACACGCATCATCTCCCCAACTCTGTGTCATTCCACTTCAGTATCTATGAACTTGTCTCCCTAAGTCTCCTGATCTGAGGCCCTATTTTCTTTATCTACTTCCAAACGGGGAGGTTATGCGTTGTCGTGAGGGACAAAGGAAAGGAATTCTCCTCATTGTGATCTGATGCTCGCATCTGCCTCCCAGACTCCGCCCACATCTTTCTCCCAGACCCTCTCCACCGCCCCCAGCGCAACAACAAAGGGTGCGACTCGATCAGTTCACCACGCGAGGGCGCATTCGCCAGTTGCAGCCCAGCCCTGCGCCTGCGCAATGTTGGAGCGGAGCGGAGCCGGGGGCTGGAAGGCGGCGGAGCACCCCGCCCCGGGCTGCGGTTGCGCGTCAGCGGTGCGTGCCGAGCGCGGCGGCTCGTGGGAGCGACGCCGGAAGCGAGCCAAGGCCATGAACCCCAGCTCGTCCTTCCCTTCCCGATCCAGAGGATGTTCCCTACGGGCAGGAGACCCTGCATGGAGGCAGAGGGTTGCACATAACGATCTCTCCTCCCTCCGCCCCCACCATCTATGTCAACCCTCCAATTTCCAAGGACATTTCCGTATCCCCCAATCCCCACCACCCACATTTTAGGGCACCAGCCTGAAGATTTATGCATACCCAGAATCTTACCCTCCCCCCATTTTCATCGGTGGACTTCAGCCCTCAAAGGAGTACCCTGAGCCTCTGATCACCCAAAGACACCGACCATGAGTTCGAGAACGCCAGAGACCATTCCTGGACAAATTTCTTAGCTTACGTCAGGAGAAACAGAGAAGAGAAGGGCTGTCCGAGGTGCCACAGCACAGTGTTCTGCACGGCTAGATCTCTGGATACGGACCCCTGGGCCATTTGCACCCAGACACTCCATTTTTGTAAAATGGGGGTAAGAAGGATGGAAGCGAAAGTGCTTTGTAAACTGTAAAGCTCTGGAGAAAGCAAGGGGTCTTTTATTTATTTATAACTGACAAGGTCATAGCTGCCCAGGGCGGGCCCACTGGCAAGATCTGAGAGCTGAGAGAGGTCAGATTTAGAAGCCACCACTCACTGATAGAAGGATTAGGAAAATAAGAGACAACATCTCTGACATCTTTTGTAGACGGTATGATTATTTATATAGAAATCCAAGAGATTCTACAGGCATATCACTAGAGATATTAAGCAAGCTCAGCAGGATTGCTGGACAAAGATCAACGTCCAAATACAAATAAAATACAAAATTCAACAATGTTTCTATACACTAGCAATAATTTACTAGAAATTATAATATCTTTCTAAAGAGAAATCAATCACAGTAAAATTAAAATTGTACAGAATCCAGAAAAAACTTACAAAAGACATTTCAAGATATTTATGAAGAAACATTATGGGCTATAAAAGGAATAAATGGAGAGAAGCAAAGAAGGATTAAGTTTAGAGAGGAGAAGCCTCAATGTCGTGAAGATGATTCTCTCCACATTAATCTGTTGATTCAATGCCTGTCTAATAAATATCACAACAGGGTTTTTCACAGAGCTAGGCAAACTGATTCTAAAATTCATATAAAAGCGCAAAAGGCCAAGAAGAGGCTAAACAATTCTAAAAAAGAATAAGAAGGGGAACTGCCCCTAAGAGACACCAAGAATGTTTTGAAAGCGAGAGTAATTAAAACAATGTGGTATTGGTGCTGGGCTAGACAAAGGGATCAATAGATTGGACTGCCCGGAAACAGATCCAAGCATATGTGGGAATTTGATTTATGATGGTGATGGCATTGCAACTCAGTGAGAGAGACTAGACTATTGAGTAAAAAGTGTTGTGACAATTGGCTTTTCTTATGAACACTCTTCACACCATCCATAAGTATTAATTCCAGATGAATTAAAGATCTAAAAGTGAAAAACAAAACTTTAAAATAATTAGGAGAGAATGTAGGAGACCTAAGGGTAGGAAAGCATCTCTTAGGCAAGAGACACGACTCACAAAAGATTGACTGATTTTATTGCATTACCCCAAAAAAGCCCTCCGCTATAAAAATGACATTATAAACAAAGTTAAAAGGCAAGCAACAGCCTGGGTGACAATGTTGGCAGCACGTAAAACAGACAAAGGGTTAGTATTCAGAATATTTAAAGACCTCCTAGAAAGCGATAAGGAAAGAACAGACCTTTTAAGTGCCACCCCAAATGGCATCCTTTCCCTTCTTCCTCGATAATAGAACCCTGATCTGACTAAGGGGTTTGGGCTCTGGGGGAGGCTGGGACATCCCCAGCCCCACAGGTGAACTGTGATTGGTCTAAATACAGCAATTATAGTTTGGTTCCTCTAGTCAATGACTGGTTCAGGCTTGGACATGTATGCAATTTTGGTCACCAAGACTGGAAGGGAGATCTCTTTGCGGTGCTGCTGGGGAAGAGACTTTAAGAAGAAAGCATCCACTTTCTTCTGCCTCTGGACGTTATTGTCTGCGGGGGACAGTTGGAGGCAGCCATTTCGGTACCATGAGGGTGCCGGTCTAGGTGGCAAACCAACATGATGAGGCGGGTATTACAGAAAAGAACCTGGTCCTTGATGTCACAGTTCAGCCTCTGAATTAGCCAACTCTAGGACTTCTTGTTATGTGAGATAATAAAATTTCCTTTTTGCTTAAGCCCCTTCTATATGGGCTTTCTGTAACTTGCACCAAAAGCTACAATACGATAGCAAAGGATATGGACATCAGTGATTTGCCTGGAGGAAACCCAGATGGCCCATGATCATAGAAGATGCTCGACCTCATAGGCAGGGAAGGCAGATACGAATGAGATATCACTTCACATGCATCAGATCGGCAAAAGTAAAAAGTCTAACAAGAGCAAATGTTGGCAAGGATGTGGTCAAACAGAACATCTTGTACCAATGCTGGGGGTGAGAGGATAAATTGGTTCAGCTGCTGCAGAGAGCAGTTTGGCAGTACTCGTCAAGCTGAAATTGTGCCTGTCCTACAGCCCTGGCTTTCTGCTTCTAGGGATAAGCTCTAAAGATGGGTTCAGAGAAATGTCCAAGGGTGTTCATTGTAGCCCTGCTTATAACAGCAAAACATAGAAACAACCTAAATGCCTGTCAGTAGAGTTGCTGATAAATAAGTCGTGGCTTATTCACAAGATAAAATAATAAACAGAAGTTAAAACGAACAAACCAAAACCATATGTATCAACGTGGCTCCATTGTGAAAAACACGTCGAGTGGGAAAAGGCATGAAATGGTACGCATAACATGATCGTTGTTACACAAATTTAAAAGATACAGAAAGCACAACTATACACTGTTCTATGAATAGTTAAATGTGTAGGGAAAATATGAAATTATGGGCTATAATTAAAAGGAAGGAAAATTTGACACATGCTACAACATGCACAAGCCTTGAAGACATTATGCTAAGTGAAATAAGCCAGTCATAAAAGGGCAAATACCATATAATTCCACTTATACGAGGTACCTAGAGTAGTCAAATTCGTAGAGACAGAAAGTAGAGGGTGGCTGCCAGCGGCAGCGGGAGGGAGAACTGGGGAGGTATTGTTGTATGCATATGAAGTTTTAGTTTGGAAGATGAAAAAGTACCTGAGGTGGGGCCTGGCCACTTAGCTCAGTTGATTAGAGAGTGGCGTTGGTAACACCAAGATCAAGGGTTTGGATCCCCGAGCCAGCCAGCCGCCAAAAAAACTCCAAAAGTACTGGAGACGATGGTGGTGATGGTTGCACAACAATATGAATGAATGTACCTGATGCCAGTGACCTATGCGCTTAAAAATGGTTAAAATGGTGAATTTTGTGTTATGTATGGTTTGCTACAATTAAAAAAAATAATACAAAAACAACGGGCTAGAAAGGCTGTATTCCAAATTAGTGAGAGAGCGGAGAGCAAGCAATAGGACTGCGGAGAAAGAAGTGGGGACTTCACTCAAACTAATGTTCTCTCTCTTTTATATGAAAAAACCTGAAGCAAAAATGACACAGTGTTAGCATTTGTGAATTGTTTGTTACATGATGTTCTGAACTTTTCTTCCTCCTATTTTTTTGGCAGCTGCCCAGTACAGGGATCAAACCTGAGACCTTGGTGTTATCAGCACCATACTCTAACCAACTGGAGCTAACCAGCCAGACTGAACTTTTCCTTTGTTTTTTAAAAGATGACCGGTAAGGGGATCTTAACCCTTGACTTGGTGTTGTCAGCACCACGCCCTCCCAATGAGCTAACCAGCCATCCCTATATGGGATCCGAACCCACGGCCTTGGTGTTGTCAGCACCGCACTCTCCCGAGTGAGCCACGGGCCAGCCCGAACTTTTCCTATTTTTAAAGAAATTGTCAGGGCTGGCCGGTTAGCTCAGTTGGTTAGAGCGCAGTGTTATATACACCTAAGGCTTAAGGGTTTGGATCCCCTTACCTGCTCATGCTGCCAAAAAAAAGAAACTTTCAAAGTAAAAAAATAAATATAAATAATAACATTTTTTAGAAAGAAGAATTAGTTCTCTAAGGTAGAACTGCCCTGAAGTGGCAGGATTTCTCACCCCACCTCTCAACCCCCAAGGCTAACTGAAGTGCAAGGGGCTGAGCATGGGAGACCTGAGATCTGGTGCTATGGAGGCTGTACCTGTACCAGGCACCACGCTAGCCTGGCAGAGCAGTTGGGATGGGCGATGGCAAGATGTTCTCTCCACTGATCCAGGGCAGGTGAGGCAAAGGGGCAGAAGGGAAGTGACTCAGAGTCAGTCCCCTCCTCAGGCACCCCCTGCACAAGATCCAGAAAGCAGGTGAAAAATAGAAGCCATTGAAACACAGAAATGTGTATTATTAGTAGCTGGAGCAGGCGGTAGAAAGAGTTCTTTGAATCTGCTGATGACAAAATATATAGCCTAATTTTTCCAGTTTTTTTTTGTTCTTTGACCTCCCTGCATATCTCTGGAGCTCCCATGGCTAAGGCTGTCTGCGTTGCAAAATACATATTTACAGGCCCTCTAAGCCTAGCTAAATACAGGTTTTCTTTTAAAGCAACTGATGATTTGGAGAAATCTTTCCTCCGCCCCCCAACACACACACATACGCCCAGACTCCTCCTTCTCAGTCTCCCTCCCCACTCTCCAAGATGTATCTGAACTTTCCAAGTGGCACTAGAGTGAAGTGTGGAGAGTGACAGAAAGAAAGGGGGCAGAGCAGAGGGAACAGGCAGCAAGGAACCCCTCTCCCTGCAGGGGCAATGAGGGGCTGAGGCACCAAGAGGCAAGGATGAAAAAAACACTCTTTGGGAGGTAGAGAGAGGGTTCACATTCACTCTAAGAATGATCCCTAAAGACTTGGAAGAGCTGCAGGCCGGGCTGCCTATATTTCAGATTTCACATA